TTCTATCAATCCATATAAGACCAATTACCTTTTGATTGGTTAGTTTGTCTACAAGCTACTAGTTCTTATTTTTCTCAATCATATTCATAACATCTTACATAACATCCCTTCAAGCTTCAAGTTTAGTAGTTTCACAATACCATTTTAGTTCCATTTTAGCAAAATTGCACTTTTGATAAATTCCACCTAGAGTTATAGTACCTTTAATTGAAAAATTAGCATCATTATCATAACCTTGCTCTTTATCTTTAGAAATTTGATGTTGGAGATTATTCGCGCCATGTCTTCCTTTACTTGAGACTTTAGCTTTGAATTTCTCCTAATTCCATTTGGAAAATTCATCAAACTTTACATTTCTGTAGATAAAAAATCTTTTCTATCAAAAGATTGTACCCCAAAAAATACAAAACATATGACTTGTGATTCAACTTGTCTTTTTAAGTTATGAAACAAGAGCATAACATACACAACCAAATACTGAGATGCTCGACCAAAGGCTTCCTTCTATACAATGCTTAAAAAGGTGTTTTGCCTTTCAAGGCTTTGATAGAAAATAAATTTAGCAAGTATATTAAGTGTTAATGTTAATAGCCTCAACCCAAAATGCTTTTAGAAGACATTTTTAAAAGAGCAAAACCTAGTCATCACCATAATTGACATATTCTTCCTTTCTATCATACCATTTTGTTAAGGATTATAAGGAACAGTCAATTGATTCTAGATTCTTAGATGGTCATAATAGTTTGCAATCATCCTCATTTTAAACTAGAAGCTTGAACTTTTGAAAATTTGCAATTACTTTTGCCTTTAACCTTAAAATTTTTTTTATAAACAATAAAAAATACTTACTACTATTTAAAGAAGTGGTAGTCATTGGGACACACACATCAATATGTATAAGTTACAATATTTCAATGGCTTTCTAACTTGCTTCAATAGAAAATGACAACTTACTTTATTTTCTACACTAACATACTCCACAAAACATCATGTTCTTGAATGGCAAGTAGATTTTGCATCCAATTAATTGACTCATCTAGTGCACTTAGAAAGGCATGTATAGGAATTTGTTTTCATTCTATTAGAAAAATTTTATCTCTCATTTTTATAGTCATTAGTTCACACTCAAAAGGATCCAATATGGTGCGACTCATATCTTCAAAATGCAAGGTAGAATGTCTTTCAAGGATTTGTCCCACACTTAAAAGTTTTTTATTTATCTTAAGCACAAATAAAACATCTGAAATATTTTTAGTACATGAAGGAGTTTTACTAACAACCACTCCTTTGTCTTTGACATCAACACTTCCTCAATTACCAATGGTGACTTTGAAGAAGTAAGATTGATCATCCTTTAAAATGTTAGCACCATAAATCATATGATTTGTATAGCCATTATCTATGAGTCAAGCTTCTTTGGTACTACTTGTTGCATAACAAAGAGAAACAAATAATTGTTCCTCAATCTTTTCTTGATGCTCAACAACTTGAGCTTATTGTCTTTGTTAGTTTCCTTTGTTTATGCAAACTTTGTCCATATGACCAAGCTGGGTTGCAAGCCTTGCATTTGACTCCAAGTTTGAATCAACAAAAATATTCTTTATTATTTTTCTTTTTATAGTGAGGACAAGTGGATTTTTTTTTGTTTTCAAATAATTACATTTAACTCCTTTTTTGTTGTCTTCTTTTTATCCTTTGTCTTTCTTCCCTCCAAATGGTTTTTTTTACTTTGTAGAGCCATTGCAACCTTGAGCTTTGCCTTTGGTGTTAGCCATAAAAGCACTTTCTCCATTTTCTTCCATTCTTAAAAATATTCTATTTTCATTGGCTTACATAGTTTTAACAAGCTTTATAATAGATATTTGAGAAAAACTCATGTTCTCCTTAAAAGAGGAGATTTTTTTACTCAAATCTCTCTAGTGTATGGGCATATATATATATATATATATACAAAAAAAAAAGCAATCAAGTCATCCCTTAGCACAAGCACTAAGTAAGCAAACTACCTTTTTTTAAGAAAAACTCACCCATCAAATATTAAATGACTGAGCACTCAAATCTTACCGCGAGTCTTGATACATTATATCTTAAATCCTTTCCACAACTCCTAATTTGATTCTCCATTGGCCTATCCAATCTAATTCATGACTCAGTCAGTAGACACTACACTAGTAAGGTAGTAAGTAATGTAATTAGGAATTTAAAAACCAAAAAGCCCTCCTTACTTGAATTGTAGGAGCAAGGATTTATAGTCTTTTAGAATAACCTTTTGATCCCCTCACTTGTATAACCATATTAGAGAGTCTATAAAAAATCTCCTTTACTGTTTCATATTCTTTTACTTCTAATTCTCTTCTCAAATTCAACACCTTCATCCTTCTTATTCTTTCACTACCTTAGAACTCCTCCTTGGGTTTATCCCGAGTCTCTTTTGCAGTTTCTAGGTTCAAAATCTTCATAGAAATATCATGTAGTGTTGCTTGTAAATTGTTTGATAAAGGAGTTAGATTACTTCCTTCTTGCACCATATCCCACAAATTTTGGGCTCTCAAATAAGTTCTCATTTTTGTAGTCACAAATCATAGTTTTCTTTAGTAAATGTTAAAGGTGGAGATAAGGAGCTATGGCTGGATGCCATTCTGTTATGTCATCTTTTGTGAATAGGTTTTCTTGTTAGTTTTCTCTCCTCATAGATCCCTAAAGATTAATGAAACTTTTAATATCATGTAAAAAAATAGAACTAGAGGAAATGAGAAAAAAAAATAGAATATAACTTTTAGAGTGGTTCATATTTTTTATTTATACTCTATGTTTATATTGCATTCATACACAATCCTCTTGTAAAATACAACACTACAAAAAAAAGAAAAGGGAATGAATATCACTTACTTTGCATAGCACTCAAATTTTAGGTTATTACTCTTATTTAACTACTATGACATGACTAAACAAGTTACTAAATCAAGAAAATATAAAAGCAATATGTCTAATTAACTTCTAAAAATATAAAAAAGAAGTGTCAATTGTAACAAAAGTTTGTCTCATCTGTCTATGAATATTGTTATCCTAGATCGAGCCATACATCCTTTGATGATGCTCTATGTTGCAATAATCAAGTCAACCTTCTCCCAATTGATGAAATTCAATGACTCTTTTTCAATTAAACCCAACTTTTATTTTCATGAAGGATTGTTTTCATCCATGATAGTAGGACATTGAAGTTGAAGTTGATAACTTTGTATATAAATCCCTTTGTGCCATAATAGATTTTGTACAAAAAATTAATGGTTAATGATTACTACTATTTAGGTATAAAAGATTTATAAACAAATTTTATAAAATTAAAAGATAATTTTTATAAAGTTATACTTAATCTTCAATAATTACAAGATTATTTAAGAAAATAAAATAAACTCTAACAAATTCAGATTAAAAAATAAGAAATGATTTGCATGCTTTGATTTTAAGATTTAGTATTAAAATTTAAAATTTAAAAACAACAAAAGTAAAACTAAAAATGAATTTTAGATTTTTAAAATTTTGAAAACATAGAATTGATAACCACACTAAAAAGGGCCCAAAAAAGTTATCTCATTTGATTTTCAAATGTATTTTTGATATTGAGTACTTGTAGCTAATAAAAGTTATTATCATTGATTTTTTTAATACTTGCTAAGAGAGAGAAGAAGAAATTTGTTTATGAAATTCGTTTCTGCTTATGTATTCATGTAAGCATTGAGCAAGTTCAAAATAATATGAATTATTATATTTTCATTAATACCTTTTTTTTTTTCTTATATAGAAACTCTGAACACAATAAATTTAAACTTAGCTCTTAGGTAAAATAAAGTATCAAAAATAGTAAAATTTTATTAAAAAAATAAAAACATTTAAAATATTTTGATAATTTCAATGTAAATACATGTATTTTGTTTTTGATAAAAACTTACTATCTTGTATACTTAAATTCAACCCTGAGAGTTAGAGTTAATAAAATCTATAAAATATTTATACTAATTGAGTAGTTTCAAGTTTAAAGAGACAATATTTTAAGAAATTTATCAAATAATTCAATAAAATGATTAGATTCATTAATAAAAATAATTTGTTTTTTCTTTCTTTAGTTAGATAAATAGAAATAAAATAGTAAAAGACAAACAATTGTATACAATTTATATAGAGAAGAATTTTCTCACAATAATGTAAATTTAAAAACTCTTGCACTCAAATAAAATACTGAATTGAATATAAGAATTTTTAGACTTATATATATTGTGTGAGAAAATCATGCTCTATTTCATATATTGTATTAATTTTCTTACAAATGTTATTAAATGCAGGAAAAATTTATTAAAATTACTAATAAATACACGCTTTACATATTTTTCCGTGCAACTTTCTCTTTTATTCTTTAATTCAGTGTCCATCGTTTTTGTATTCAAATAATGGAACTGCATTTTGAAAGCTGATACACTATTTTTGATGTACTTTTACTTTTGCTTGAGGCTTGCTTTTTGTTACTCGTAGATTTCCTAAAGCAGATTGTGGTGTCAAACAAGACCACATGCATTATAAATGTTTTATTTTATTTTGTTTTTTCTTTATATTATTGTTATTTATGTATAAGTTTGTTTTTTTTAATATTTAAATAGAATGGGAGGCTCAAAAGCGTCACATTGGAAACACACTGCTGAATGGAGATTTCAATCACGCGTATACACTGAAGCATTGACCTCTGTTGTTATTGCTCCCACAACATGGAAGATTTTCGATTGTCAAAATGGTAACGCTTTTAGTTCCAATAGTCTCCTCATGGCATGTGGCTTCATATGTTATTTAATAGTTCACTGCTTATGTAGGAATAAGGATGTTCAAAGAAGCAAAAGATTGGGCCCGTGGAAGTGTTAGTTGCTCCTACCTATATAAAATTTCATTCTTGTATATGATCACTTTTATCTAAAGTTTATTGTATTCAGCGTTCGAGTGATCACCCAGTAATGATGGCAGTGGGTGTAGTTGATGGAACTTCAGAAGCCATTTTCCACACTTTTATGTCTCTTGGATCCTCACGATCAGAGTAAGTCTTCCAAATTATTATTGATATGCTGCGGGAGGATGATAATGTTCCAACCATTTTCTTACTGCTGAGTGAAAATTATATGTAGGATTAGTAAATAGTGAACGAGAACTGCCATGATAAAAAGAGGGACCATATCAATAATGGGTTTAATATTGGTCAGCCTTTTAATATATATTTTTAAGAAAAGAAAGAAAATTACATAAATCAATTTTTTTCTTAAAAGTTAAAATTGAGTTATATATTTTATCTTTTGGAAACCAAAAATAAATGAAAGATTTTAAAAAAGGAAGTGTATAAGTTGATTTTAACTTGTAAACGAAGTTTTAATTATTTTGTCTCCTTATTTTTTATATGAGTACTTATTGATAAATTAATTCAACCTAAACTTAGATCTTAAATAAATGTAAGATAATAAAAAAAATTATGTTAAATGCTTTTATCATCGACATTCAACCTTTAAATTTTATACACCTCCCACCGTAAACCTTTTAGATTTTATAGTATATCTCCAAAATATGTAAGTCGTGTGAGTCATTTCTCAAGAATAAAGACATTGATCAGTTATATTCATTAGCATCTTCAGTACATGCAATCTATGGTAAATATGATTGAAATTTTATTGACTATTGATGGAAACTGTTTTTCGTTGTTGACATACAATGGAGTGTCACACAATTTTTGCAACAAGAGATTTTGATTAGCACTAGAGGCCCTCAACAGGTTTTCTGATTGCGTAAAACTCAACATGATCTGCGGATCTAAATTAAACTCGTTTTGGAATACATACTATCACTAGAAGTTGTTTGAACATTTTCTGATTTTGTGACAACTAATAGTGATATTCCAACAAAAATGCTGATGGCTGGTTTAGGTATGACACAGGTTTTGTGTCTACTGTCTAGTAATAAATTACTATGCTATAAATTGGGTATTTTCTGGAATATTCAATTAATAATATATATATATATAACGTTTTTAAAGTATTTCTAAGGATAGACAATAAGAATATGAACAAAATTTTGTTCCAGTATCATAGATAATGTTGGTGCTTTTCTTTAATCAGAGTAATAATATGTATCAACCTTTAATATAAATTTTTATTATGAATATTATTGAAGTAAAATTCTAACTTTAATTAAAGAACAGTACCAACATTACAATAATACATATGGCGGTATTGCATCTACGTTTTGTTCTATAAAAAAAATATAGTACGATTTTATAGAAATTTGTATGATATCAATGTATTGATAACATGAAATGTCACAGTTTTCAATAAAAAATTACTATTTTTTTTATCATATGTTATTAGATACACATTAAAATTATATATATATATATATATATATATATAATTTAGTTTAAATTAATCAATTAATGGGAGGATTCCCTGTACAAATGCTACTTATTCTAATGAGTTCTAATGTCAATTGCAAAATCCTTTTGTAGTTTTTAATACTTTCAAAAAGTTTTCTAAACGAAGGGGATAAGAATGAAGTAAATAAGTTGTGATTTTCTTTCGGTTTTCATTGTTTTCTGTTTATAATTTCGAAGAATGAAAAAAATCATTCTTTTCTGTTTTTAATACTTGTTCCAATTGTTGTTATTAAATCAATATTGGAGTTTCACCTTGATAGTGTGTCCATCAACCTCAATCTTTATTGTGATGATTAACGAGGTGAAACCCTAATCTTGACCGGAGAACAACGTTAAGAACACTCATAATCTTGCGACTAAATTTTGTCCCTTCTTGTTTCTCAAGAATTGGGATAAAGCTAGGTGTAATGGTTTGGAGACCCTGCTCCTGTTTTACAAACTGAGATTCATATTGAGTTACTACTAAGCTATTTGAATGGTCTCAAGCGAAACTCGTTTTGAATCCTTGGCATCATTCCCCTTATTATAATTTTTTTCTCATTCCAATTCAAATGTTGAATTTACCAAGTGTCTTGCAGATGGGACTTTTGTACATACCAAGGAAGTGTGGTAGATCGCATTAACGCTCACACTGATATTGTTCACATGAAGCTGTACAGTGATTGTCTACCATGGTAATAATATATAGAACTATCTTACAGATAATTTGGTCAAGAATACTTGGTAGTTGTTACTAATAAATCTCATTTATAGGGGAATGAAACCACGAGATTTTCTGTTAAGACGGTATTGGAAAAAAGAGGATGATGGCACATATGGTAAACTTTTTTGCAGAAGTAAAATCCACATTACGAAGCTCCGATTCTTTGTTATTATTTATTGGTTAATTCTCTTTGTTTTTTTGGTTCTGTAATTAACAGTGATGTTGTTCCATTCTGTTTATCATAAGAAGTGTCCACCACAGAAAGGCTACGTTCGTGCTTCTGTTAAAAGTAATGTATGCTTTTAAATTTGATATTATTTTACCTCTTAAAACCAATTGTTTGACAATTTGTTGTGGCAGGTCGTTTATTCAATATGATATCTGAAATGAAATTGGGGTTACTTTGAGCTGATTCACCTCTTGTTTGACTTCATTAATGTTTGGTAGGTGGAGGATTTCTAGTGACTCCTATTGACGAAGGAAAGCAATCACTTGTTAAACACATGCTCGCTATTGATTGGAAGTTGTGGAAATTGTATCCACGCCCATCATCTGCTAGATCCTTAACCATTCGTATGCTTGAGAGAGTTGCAGGTTTGTTTTGCAGGAATTTTAAATATAAAATTAAAGATAACACAATTATATATAATACACATCATAACAACTCAATACAATTCCAACTATATATAATTGAATAATTGTGTTAAACGGGTACCTGATGAGAACCCACGAGTCATAAGCAATCCCGATAAGAATCATGAGTCATAAGCAAACAGTTATATAAGCATAATCAGATAAGAGCAAGAACCTCTCACTGGACACATAAAATAGTCCAATCCATCACGTACTATTCACACTAAGAGCCCAATTACAAAATCTATATAATAATTATTATTATTATTATACACATTTATTTTACGTCATAATTAATAACAATGTAACCATAATAATTTAATAATGTTAATCCATAAATTAATATAAATATTAATATTAATGTTAAAAAATCTAACATGTTTAACATATGATGATGACGACATAGTAATTGTTCCAAATTTTATTTTGCATCCAAAAGGAGATATTTTTGTTGTTCCTCTTAATTTTGAAGAGCTTTTTAGAGATGCAAGTAAAAAAGATTAAAAAAAATCGTTTTTTTTCATGAGCATCCAAAGTTTTGGTGCCCCTTTTAATTTTAGGAACTATTTTTGAGATGTGTGTAAATGAAAAAAGATAAAAAGAGAAACGGAGATAGTTACACAATACACACACGATAGCACTTGTAGTGTCAAATTTTAGAAGTTTAAATAATTGTAGTATAAATAGTGCAGTTTTATTTATTTATAGCTTTTGCGTATAGACATTATGATAGATACCGTTTTTTTCTCAAGTCTTACAACAATTTTCACCATTTACAGCACTGAGAGAGTTGTTTAAAGCTAAAGCAGCAAATTATTGCTCTGAACCTATTGAAAAGGAAATAGATTTAGTGTTGCCTCATAGTAAAAAGGAAGAGGATATTAATAATGAAGTTAAAGAAGTGGACAGCAAATTGGGGGAACTTGTATTGGAGGAAGAGGCTAACAGAGAAACTTCTCATTGTACGAGTCTAGTGGCATTGAGTGATGTTGATGAGTTCTTTGATGTTCCTGAACCAAAGGACTATGATCAATTAGAAAATGATTGGCACTCTACCTTGCTTTCAGAGCTGCACCCTCAGTCTCAGGTACCATTTCCATACTCATATTCAATTCCTTCCTTAGGTTTCACCAAGATTTATAATGTCTTTTCTGATAATCTGCTTTATTAATCATAGTTTAAGTTTTGAACTTACTTAGAATTAGAACATCATTCTACAGTACTTAAAAGTAATTTATTATAATTATACTTAAAAGTTTGAAGATATTTAATCATAAATTTTAGACTAAGATTTTATTTTATTTTATTTTATTGGATCTAGTGGCCTATAAAATAAAGAGTAAACTCACAAATTAATCCTCAAGTAATAAGTATTGAGCATATTTGTCTCTTCCTTTTTAAAATTGTCCCAATAGTCATTAATATCACAATTCGTCAAGTATTTAAATCTCTAACGTTAGGTAACTCTTAAAATTTTTAACTTCAGCTGAAATATTACATTAAATGACATGTGTGATGTCATCTCAAGGACTAAATCTAGGCTTACCATCAGCAAAGGTTGTCATGGTAAATTTTGTAACAGTGACAATTGTGAGTAATGTAGGTGAGGAAGGGAGAAAATGTCCACGATAGTAGCAATAATGGTGATACAAATCAATAAGATTAGTTTATGATATTGTAACAATGTCATTTTAGTGCTTGAGATGACATCACACATCACTATACCATCTTACACTTTTTGAAATGGTTGCAAAGCTAATAATATCATCATTCTTTGAAGATGACTTTAGAGAGTAATTGGTATAATTATTCTCTAAAATTAACTTTAGAGAGTGGTTATATGCACAAATTAAAATTTAAAAAAATTTCCTCAATTTCTAACTTATAAACTCATGTAAAGATAGAGCGCTACCCAACTAACATCTCTATGATCTTTTTTTTTTGTCTTCTCGGTAATAATAAAATTAGCTCTTTTCACAACTCTAAGTACATTTTTCACATCTCTCTCCATTCTCTCTTTCTCTATGCTAACAATGAAATTTCTTATTATTTTGATATTTTTTTCTATTTACCAATGTTTCGTTCATTTAGATGTAGACTATTTAGTTAATATAACATCAAAACTCAAGTTTCAACGAGACAAATAATCAGTTTTGATTTGTGATAAAAAAAAAACTCACAAATGAAGAAAATTTGACTTTTAGACATACAAATCAAGTTTAAAAGTAATAGTACATTAATTTTGATTTATAATTAAAAACTAATAAAGAAAGAAATTTCAAATTTTAAATTTGTGATCCATAGTTTAAAAAGTTGTTGTAAAGATTACTCTCAAGTACATCAATTTTATATAGTGGTGCTTGTTAAAGCATTTGAAATATTCTCCAAAACGATGCAGATATGTTTTCTAATATTTTTCTATTGTAGTGCATGTCACTTAACATGACTTGTCAACAAAAGTTAATATTTCTCCCACGTTAATTAACGTTAGAGATCTAACTACTTAATAAACTACTATATCAAGAATGGACGGGACAATTAAAGAATATAAGACTAATATGGTTAATAATTATTATTTAAGAAACTAATTCTTGAGTTTACTCAGAAAATAACTTATCAAAATTAAAATTGAAGATTCTAATACTTTTTCTCTCTCTAAAGAATATATCAATTGAAACTTTAAAATCAAATTACATTCTCTCCTTTTCATCATTGACATGAATAAAAACAAAATAGATTTTATCTAACTCTCAAGCATAATCTTGTCAAAATAATTTCCATATAGCATGTTATAATGGGATTATTTAATGTTAATAAATCATTCTTTGAAATTTATAATGAATCACCACAATTCTTTTTAACTTGTTTTGATATTAAGTTTTATTTTGATCTTTATACATAACACTATTTTTTTCTTTAATCCCAATGTATAATTCATTCTTTCATTGTTATTTCTATTTAAACACATTTTTTTAATATTTTAATTTGATCTATTTCTTTTTATAAAAACTAAAATGAAATATGTATTATGTATAAAGATTATAAAAAAAAATTGTGTTATATATAATGAGTAAAATGATAAAATATTTAAATATAAGATAACATTATAACAAAGATTACGAGAGAGATCTATTTAAAAAAAAGTTATTTAATGATTTGATCAAAATAGCATTTAAATCTAAATTTATTTCATTGTATAATAATATATCATATTAAAGAAAATATTATTGTTAATATGCTTTTGTTATATTTTAATTTAAAAGTATTCATACAACATAGATATAATGCACAATAAGTTTATTTAATAATAATTTAAAAATTAATAAAATATAATAAAAATTATAATAAGTGTAAAATATTATTTTTAATACAACTTTTTTAATTTATTTTTTCTTCAGCGTGGACTAATATTGGCTTAAAGGAAAAGGTCTATGAAAAGTTTGTTCACAAGAAGTTATTAATTGATGAATCACGCATGTTGGATCATTAAATTTTGTGAATCAGAAATAATTTATTATATTTAATATAGTAAAATATTTTTAATTTACTTTTATTTATTAATTTTATTAAAAATTAAGTAAAAATATATAATAAAAATAATGGATCGAGTAAATTGTTATAATCTTTTAATTAAAATTTATTTTTAATTAGAAATTACATTGAAAGAAAAGGTTTGTGAAAAATTTTCTCACTAAAAGTTACTAAGGCTGTATGCATAAAGTGCAAATACACGTGTGGCAAAACATTAGCATGCACCAATAAACGTTAAAAGATGAATCAAGTATGTTTGATCATTAAATTTTGTTGACAATTATTATTATTTTTATTTAATATAATAAGTATTTACTTATACTAATAAAAATATTATTTATTTTTTAATTTTATTTATAAATTATTTTAAAAATTTAAAATACTCTTATAATGTCACACGTTTTTGCACAAAATAATTGTTAAGAGTAATTTGAAACTTAGTTTTCTGAAAAAATATTAAAAGAATATTACAAATTACAGGAAGAATAAATTGTTATATTTTCAATAAAAAAATAATTTTAAATTTTCTAGGCATTTATCAGTATTTGCATTGAAAGAAAAGTTTTATGGAAAATTTGTTAATTAATTAAATAAAGAGCACTATTAGGGTTGTCGTGCATGATTTTTAAGAGCAAAAGCACATATGTACTGTTCATCGATCGAAAGGCACTAGGCACTAAAGATATTCACGCATGATTTAATCATTAAATTTTTTGAATCACACTTTTATTTCATCTGATTTTTTTCTTTCTTTTAGAATTATGACTATAAAAGAGTTCAACCTCGTGATGTGCAAGTGTAAACAAAAATGTGGGGTAATCTTAAAAACAATATGAACTTGAAACAAGTACTCTTGCATTTGTTAGTCTCTTATATTTATTTTTTCTATTTTAATCACATCACTTATCATTATTTATTTAATTTTCTATTTTTCCTCCAATCAAATTATACGCTAACAAATCATTTTCGTATCATCATTGCTGACAGATCTCAAGTTATACATTTTCTCCTCTACCGTATAATACTAATACCTTTGCAATATTTGGTAATTTCAGTGTGCATTCAATTTTTTATTTTTTTATTTCTTTATATTTTAAGCTCTATTTAAGAATTTTATTAATTTTTCAGAGAAAGAAAAGAAAATTGAGTTATTTTTGTTTGGGAGTTTTTAGACATTTCAAAACTCTCTTAATCACACATTTTTAAGGTTTTATTTGAGAGGTTGAATAGAGTGAGAAAAAATGATTTGGAAGGTAAGGAGGAAAAAGAGAAGAAAGAAATAATAAGAATTAATATAAAATTATTTAGATTGAGAAACTTAAAAATATGAAATTAGAAGAATTTTAGTCTTTTCTTTTTTCAAAAATCAACTCCTAAACAAAGCTTGGGTATTTTCAATTTGTAAAGTTTGTATTGACCCTCTTTCCTCCTCTTTTGTCCTTCAAAGCTTTTTTTTCCTTTTTCTTTTTCTTTTCTCTCCAAACTCTCAAACAAATACTTTCTTTATTTAGGAATTGACTTTTAAAAAAAAAAAAAAAGACAAATAAAAGACTTTTGTGATAATTATTTTTATTTGAGAGTTTTTAAATAAGATAATTTATAAACCCTCTAAATTTTATATTTAATTTCTCCTAATTTGGTGAGTTTTGTATTAATTATTTTTTTCTTCTCCTCCTTTACCTTTGGACTATTTCTTTCACTCTTCCTCTAAACTTTTAAACAAAATCTTAATTTTTTCAATTTCTAAAACTCACAAAATAGTTGTTGTTTAGAAAAATTATTATTAAACTAATTGATAAAAGTAAAATGATACATAAAAATATAACTAATTATTGAATCAAACTAAAAATTAGGTAATTATATATTTTTAAATATTTTTCTGTCTTTAAAAATAGTCATTTAAGTTTATGATAGAAAAATTAAAATTGCATTCAATTGTCTTGCTTTTGTTAAAAGTATTACGAAATTTATATTTTTTAGTATATGATGTTGTTAGCACTTTTCTTTAATAAATTTTTTTAATTTTATTCTTATTTATAAGTATTTTTATTAAATAAAATGAAATAATATAAATAAATTTTACTTTTATTTTGATGATATTATATTATAAAGAAGTGAAATTTAATGATTTTGATAAATTAAATATTTACAAAAAATTAATTAATTTTTATTTATAATTTGAAATAAATATTTTTACCAAGTGACGCGCAATACTTTCAACCATCAACGTAATCTATGAAAAGATATTAAATTTTTAAAATTGAATGAATAAAAATGTATTGCAAAAAAATATATAGGATAAAAATGAAATTTTTTTAATTAAGTTGTTAATTAAAAAATTTGCAAGTTAAAATTAGGTTTAAAAACTTTAATAACCGGTCATTTAACTACTTTACTAAATAACTTATTTTTGTTAAATAAACTCTAGGATTTGCTATAATAATTCAATAAGAAAATATTAACATTTAATCCTTTTTGTTTGGAACACTTCTCATAAATATTATACATGAAAAATAATTTATAATATCTTAATTGTATGTTAAAATAACTTTGATCATTTTAGATTATTTCTTAATAGAATAATAATATTTTAATAGTCAGTAGCATAATTATTTTTAATTTATATAGGATGTCTGGACACCCAAACTAAGTATTAAAATAACATTAATTACTCATTTTAATATTCGCTTTTATATTTTCTTAATATCTATTAACACGCGCGGAATTAACAATAATAATATTTAACTACCCTTTCCATTCCACCTATATTACTAAATTAATTATTATTAGATGCTTTGACAACATATAGTTGCTGATCACTTCGTTATATAAAATCTCTTCACCTCTAGCAATAAACTCAACTTTTCATTTTTAGCGCATCATATCACGATTCCATACTTTTTTACTCAAAACTTATTATCTAATAATTTATTTTTATATTTATTTGTGATCTTATATTTTAATTCCTTATAATATAACTAGAATTATGATACAAAAATATAATAAATAAAATTTAATATTTTTCATGTTGTATTAAATATAACACAACACTCTTCTCAAAAGAATATAATCAAAGTATCTTCTCTTTTTAAAATTTTCTCCCATTATCATAAAATACTATAATATCATCAATTAGTATTTAGTCCTAAATAAATACTTAATGTATGCCTTTAATTTGTAAATGTTCATTACTTTAATCTTTTAACTTTATAATTTTACCAGACTCGCACTTTAATTCCTTATATATATATATATATATATATATATATATATATATATATATATATATATATATATATATATATATTGACACTAAAAAATAAGGAAAAATTAAAATGGGTATTAACTCATTTGTTGTTTATTTAGTAAATAATCTTGTTATAATGGTGTCTTACTATGTTAATTATTGATGGAATTTAAACTAGCTACTGGATGAACAGACTGCTTACCATCCCAAAATATCATCAGCCACTGGTTTGGTCCAAAAATTACACGATTTTGCAGGTTATTGCTGTTTCTTAATAATCTTTTTCTTAAGAATGAAAGGTATATGTAACATGCTTCAATTCTCAATGGTTTTCTGAGAAAATGGTTCCAAACATATGTTTGCTTGCAGTTCAGAACAAAGGGTACATGGATTTACAAGACATAGACATGGAGAATAGTGTGCAGTGCACTTATGGAGCCACTCTTCGTAAAGATTTAAGTTTTACTTTACCATGCAGCTGGTCTCCATCTGATCCATCTTTATTTTTTATTCGTGGAGAAACATATTTAAAAGATCGTCAAAAGGTATTTATGAATTCTAAAATTGTAGTTGTAGAAGTTCAACTGTAAAAATATAACCTTTTTCAATTAGAAGAAAATCTTAAGATTCTAGCCTAATAAATTATAATAGCTTATGTTATTTAAAAAAAAATGAAGATTGCTAGTTTGTACGAGGGGTGATTGCCTGAATTTTGTACAAATTTACTTGTATATATATTTTTTATTAAAGTAATGTTAAAAAATAAAATCTAAGAGAGTTTTTAACAGGAATCAGGCAGTATGGTTTTGTAAATGGTTTTGTCTAATTCGTGCAAAAATTTATCACTACAAAATTTTCACAAGCATTAAAGAAAATGATATGTCAAGTAATGTAGCTACACATGAAACTTTTTTCAAATCTTTTATGACATAAACTAACCAAATTTTAATTGAGCATGGTTATTAATTTCTCTTACCCAGGTCAAGGCAAAAGGCACCCTAATGCAAATAGTGGGTGCAGATTGGCTTCAATTTGACACGCGACAAGATGATCTATGCAGTCGTCCTGGTAGCATAGTTCAGGTTTATATTGTCTGCTCTTATTTTGTTGCTTGTGTGTGATTTTCTTTCAGGATTGATGATTTCTAGTTATTATGTCAAAAAATTCAAAAGAATCATTGTCAAAATATTGTCATTGTCACACGTGCCTTATGATTAATTCAGCAATATGCAGCAAAAGGTGGCCCAGAATTCTTTTTTGTCGTCAACATACAAGTTAGTATAACCTCATCTAATTATTGCATTTACCCTAATGATTGAGTATCATATTATTTACTGAATATTGCTATCATGAATCAGATACCTGGAAGTCCTTCATATTCCATTGTACTCTATTACATGATGGAAACTCCACTGGAAGACAATCCTTTATTGCAACGCTTTGTTGATGGAGATGACGCTTACAGAAACTCAAGATTTAAGCTTATACCACATATTTCTAAGGTTAACTAAGTCATAGATTCAAACAGAAAAAGCTTGAAAGAGTATCCTAATGCTTAACCCTCCTCATGCTTTGTTTCTCCCAGGGACCATGGGTAGTTAAGCAAAGTGTTGGCAAAAAGGCATGTCTGGTGGGCCAAGCTCTAAAAATACATTATTTTCGTGGGAGAAACTATCTAGAGGTAACATAGATATCTTCTTAATCATTAAAACTATTGTAGTTTTGCTCATAATCTTTCTTCCCACTTTATGATATCCACACACAAACATAAGGATGATGGTTAATTTACTAACTTCTAGTATTACTTTCAGCTTCTTTCATGTTTCGTAAGCTAATTTAAATTGTACATATTATCAGCTGGATATCGACGTTGGATCGTCAGCAATTGCCAAGGCAATAGTGAACCTAGTTCTTGGATATCTGAACAATTTGGTCACAGAAATGGCTTTTTTGATAGAGGTACAAATATAATAACAAGTGTGGTTGTGCTAGACCAAGATGTAGAATAAGCATTCATTTTTTTTAAAAATAAATGCGCCATCATACTAATCATTCATTTATCAACAACATTAAATTATATAGTTGAGAAAACTCACAGTTTAGTCCTTAATAATCATATTATTTTTTTTTTAAAATTTTGATGATGAAAATAGTCTCTTTTTGGTGATTACTTTAACTTTCGTTTGATGAACCATGTGCTGATGGACCTGCAATTTGTGTACGTCATAAAAGGAATATAAGGAAACGCAAGAGCAAAGATGGTAATGAGATAGTGAGCTAAAAATGGTAGGAGAGGACTTTGTTGCGTAGAACATAAAGGCATCTAACTATATGTGCTTATATCAGTTGGGACTAGAGAGAAAGGTGTTGCAACCATTAAAATGAATGTGAATATAGGCAAAAGATTGCACACTTTTGAAGATTTAGGATTGATTTTGTCTACCCACAATAAAATATATATAAAAAATAAAAATAAAAAAAACCATTCCCAAAACTTATAATAGAGAACAGTTTCTTAGCCATAGTTAAAACTTACTTGATCCATTGCTTATTCACGTTTTGCCAATAATTTAAAATCGTGCCAAAGTTTTAGGTTACTGTGATTAGATTAGACTTGCCAACACTGTCAAAATGGTTGCCTAAACTTTAAACAACAGTTTTTCTATTTTAAAACCGATTTTTTATTGTTACTTAAATAGAAAAGTGTTGTAAGAACATTGTTTTCTCTTTTTTCTTTTTCTATTTTTCATACTCTTTGTAATTAGATCTCATTCCCTACTCTTTGTAATTTTTTTCGTTTTTAATATTAAAAAATATCATATTATTTTTCATGCTAACATTTTACATTTGATGATCTCTGTAGGGAAACACACAAGCAGAGTTACCAGAACTCCTTATTGGAACATGTCGACTCAATCATATGGATGTATCCAAAGCATTTGTGGTCAAACCATAATATCGCAAAGGAATCTATTTTGTATTTTTGAGAAGGAAAGCTAACATTTAAACACAAATAAAAAAAGAAAACGAAGTTACAAAATTAGGCCATACTTAGCTAAAAATCATCAAATATATCCAATTGGATTAGTTAGGGATGTTGATAATTTGCTGTAGATGAGAAATGAAACATTTTACAAATATTGTTGTATGCGTCATTGTCCTTCCAATCAAATCGGTATTGGTGCACATAATAAGAAATTCCCGTTGTATATTTGCTTGGGCTATTTAATTTGTAAAGCAAGTTGTCGAATCCTCTCTCAATCCTACTCTGCAAATTTATGTAAAATTTTGATTGTTCATAGAAGTTGTTTATTAAACTTGTTTCAATGATTGACAAAAAGGTAAACTTTTTAAAAGGGAAAATTGTTTCAACTAGTTATTTGTGTTTTTTATAAAAATTTAGTTTGGTATGAAGAAAATGACAATATCAACATGATGTGTATCACGTTATATATATGGAACTGAAAAAAAGGTATTCCAACAATTTAAGATAAAATACAAATCATTATAACATAAAATAAATGCAAATAGAACAAGGAACTAGTTTGACGAAAAGATTTGGTTTAGAGCAACCAAGACTACGGTCATCTAGATAAAGTATCAAACAAAAGTCAAGTTTCCATTATCATTGATAATAAACGGATGCTATGAGCTAACGTCTATATTAGCTCAAAGAAAGAAGTTGAAGGAGCAAAGGATGGAAATGGAAAAAAATCAATCCAAAATTACATTACACCTACTATTTTAGTATTTCTGGAAGCATTATGACTCCTAATATAGAAGTAAAAAACTTCAAGTTGAAGCCAACTTTAATCAGTATGGTTCAAAATTATACACAGTTTGAAGGAATGCCTAATGAAGACTCCAACATCCATCTAGCAAAATTCCACCAACTCACAAACACTATAAAGTACAATGGGGCCACCAACTATACTATTAGGTTTTAATTTTTCCCCTTCTGTGTCATAGAAAAGGTGAATGCATGATTTGCTACATTACCTTCCAATTTCCTCACAATATGGGAGGATTTGACTCAACAATTCTTAGGAAAGTACTTTTCTTAGCAATTCTTAAGAAAATACTTTCCTCATCTAAATCTGCTAAGCTTATGGCAGAGATATCCAATTTTTAGTAATATGAGTCTGAATCCTTATTTGAAGCATAAAAATAATTTGGAGAACTTCTGAGGAGGTGCCCACGTCATGGTTTTCTTGTGTGGAAACATATGCAAATTTTTTGTGGTAGACTATCAATCTCCAATACTGTTGACCCTCACATTATTGCTAAGAAGGACTTATGTGAGGGAGAATACTCACCCTTATGACTTATTTTTCAAGAAAATGAAATTGAATAATAAAGGAAAGTTGATTTGATCTAGAATTATATTCTTAGTGAGATTGTGGAGAAGAATTATTCTAATGGTGTTTAGATTAATTTGAAGATTGTAATACTTTTGATTAAGTTTTGTTCTTATTATTTGACAAGAGTATGTCAATATTTTTAAGGTCAAATTGTTTTAAATGCATGATACTTAAGTTAAATTTTGTCGTAATAAGTACTTCAAAGTATGTTGTAATATTGATAATTAGTTTACTTTAATTATAGTTTCCATTCCATTTCAGATAGAAATTTACCTTACTGAATAGCAAAGTTATTTATATTTTAAATTTATATATTTGTATCATGGACTAAATAAATTGTCAAGACAAAAATTTTAGTTTGTTTTATTTGTAAATTTAAAATTTCTAAATTATTTCTCTTAAAAGTTCTGGACTATTCCTGTCTTTTCATTAATTTAGATTATAGAAATGCAAGTTTGATTTTTCTTCAGTTCTTAAACGATAAACATAAAAGGAAAATTCACTTTAATTTTTTTCCTTCCTATTATAAAATTTTATCAATTCTAAATAACAAAATTAAAGATGTTATAAAAACAAGCTTTTAAAAAGGTCAGGTTAAGCTTAATAAAAAGTCTATGATAAGTAATGGGTAAGGCTTAAATTTCAAAATTATTAAATAAGTCAGACTTATTTATGCAAAGCCTAACCTAACCTAGCCTATTTTCATCCCTACTTACACCACATAATAACTCTTAGTAAAATTAAAACAATTTACCAATTCAACTCTTAAATCAAGTAATGTTATCTTCATGATGATGTATGTTATCTTTTTAGTCTAGAACACAATTATCTTCTACTAGAGACAATTATATTTAAGTTAAGTAAAACTACTATAGGTGGAAAAGTTTTCCCTTTTTAAGTAATTATTTGTACCTGTGTCATCTAATAATTAATATTTATTTATATTTTAATAATATAATATATATTAAAATTTAATTTTTTATACTTTATGCCAATAAATCTTGACCCATATTAATTTAAATAACATTTTATTTATAACTTCAAATTTAAAAACATGGATGAAGTTAAAATAAAAGGAAAAATATAAAATATAAATATAACTTAAAATGCCTTTTTTTAATTTTTTATAAACTTTCATATATAAATATGTTTATTTTAAATAAAATATTCAAGTCGCATATCTGATGTACTTATATTTAAAAAATATAAAATATACATAATATATACAACTTCTATTTTTTTATTTTTAAACTATATAAATGGTGTATAATTTACTAATTTGTTTTTTTTAAACACAAGTAAATGGTACAAATTCAACTTATGTTAATTATAAAAATAATTTAAAATTTATACTAATCATGTAATTTTAGAATTAAATTACACTAATCACATAAAAAATAGCCATATTTTTGCATTTTATTTCTCTTTTTTGGTTTTAATTGTAGCATTAACTTGTTAAGGATTATTTATTTATTTATGCTTACCTTTCTCTCATCACATCACATCTCTTTATAATGTCTCTGTAACATCCTTAATTTCTCATTCAATATAGATAATAATTTATAACAAGTATAGAAAATAAAGTGTATTTTTTAAATTTATAGCTTAAAGAATTTAAGAAAAATAAAATTTACATTTCTTTTATTCAATTTATGAAAAACTCATAGGTATTCAAAAAATATTACAAGAAAGAGTTTCAAAATTTTAAATTTATAAATAGAGTAAAAACTAAAATTTACATCTTGATAATTTACTTACTTCATATCACATACGTATAAGTTTAAAACATGGATAACATTGTCTTTCAACAAAGTAAATTTTTATCCAAAACTAGATGTAAACTACAATTAAAATAGCTAACTAACAAATATTACATATACCCTTCAAATTATTAATTACAATAAAACTTATAAAATATTATACATTCAAAATAAATAATATGAAAATTTAATCAGAATTATTACAATCTTCGAAATCAATTTAACCCTAACAGAGCAATTTTTTTTTATAATTTCACTAAGAATATGGTTCTAGATCAAATCAACTTTCTTTTATTTCTTCAATTTCACTTTTGGAAAAATAATTTGTAATTGTAAGTATCTTCCACTCCACTAAATTTTTTATTTTACAAATAAAACAAGTCATACAGAAACATCATTAAAGACAATATACACGAAGATAATGCTAGCTCGTATATTATACTAAGGAATTTACAACAAATTAAATATTATAATATCAAATCATTAATATTTCAGTATATGCACTAAGACCATGTCATTTCATATATTCTTACATAGATCAGCATATCATAATACGTACATTATACTCATATTAATTAATGCATTACAATACATGTATTATAATCAAACTCGTCGATATATTACAATACCTGTATTATAATCACGTCAATCAATATGTTATGACTCCCGTATTATAATCACACATCTCACAATTTCACAATCGTCGTCCCTGAGATCTCTTGAGGTCTTCCATAAGTATAGATAATCGCTAGTTAGCCCATGCACATGAATACAACGTATACAATAAAGAGTCTCTCAGTAAAAGTATAGTCAGGAGTGTTAGAAACGAGTGTGAGATCATGTGATGCATTCGTATTCAATAGATTGTGTACACATAAGCAAATGTCATTCACCACTTTACATTTCCTTTCAGACTTCCTCAATTAGCTTCATATTCTATACTTCCAGTGTATCTCTGTAACTATCCATACACATTTTAGTCAATTTTTCAACACATGCATTTTCTCAATAATTATCAAATATTCACCTTCATTTCTTTTCATCACGTTTCTCATGATAATACAATTTCCATTCTTTTTCTTTCTTGTTATAATACAATTTCATCATACTAAGTCATTCAAATACTGTTAAATCATCAATTAATTTGTCAGAGGTCAAACACCCTCAGACTTAACTCTAATTGCATATTTTCAATAAAACATATTTCACTTCATTCATTACTTTAAACAAACAACCATATTCTCAACTCATATTTCTAAAATAAGAGAAAGTATATAATCACATACACACATCAATATTCTTTCTAAAATTTTCTATCATATGCAATCAATTTCACTTCATATAAATCAATTCAATATGTCGAAGCTCAGACACCTTTAGACTCAACCCAATTGTACTAATAAGTCTATATTTTAGCTTGCTTTTATAGCCCATAAATTTATATTTGGTCTTTATTTTAATTCATGTATATATTGTGCAGTTTAGCATAAAAAGGTCATAGTTGGATTTTTGGGCATTTTAGGTCCAAATTGGCTAGAAAAATAAGCTTCACAGTAGTCATCACTCTTAGACCTCAAAAGCAAGCACGAAGGGTGCTTCAATTCAAGCCCATGCACGGTTGTGCTTATGGCCTTGCACGTCTATGCTCACCTACGAGAAGCTCAATTATGAAGCAATTTTATGATTTTTTAAATCCTATTAAAAGGAACCTCAGAGGCATCCTAAAAGACACCTTGTCATTGATATGTGATACATCTTTCATCTCATCCTTCTCACATTCTTTGATCTTAGGCACACTCTTGACTGGACTTGGAGCTTTAAGCGATCATACTTGAAGATTGAAAACTCATCTCATCCCTATGACTTTATTTATGATTGTTTTACTTCTTTTTTTTAGCATGAGTAACTAATTTCATAGCTAGGGTTATGAGAATTCTTTTCATAAATTTATGAGATTTTGATATTTGAATCTAAATTTGATTTTTGTCTGTGATTAGTGTTTATTTTATTACGCATAATTGTATGTTGTGAACTAATCACTTGTAACATAACCCTAATTAATTATATTGTCAGGCGACCGTACCTCGATTAGTTAATAGATCTATAGGATAAAATAAAAAAAAGAATTAGGTAGGCCAAACAAATCTTTCTCTTTCAATCGTTATTAAATTAATAAGTTTATAGGTGTTTTATGCTTTCTTCAATTAATATCTTACATGGTCATTGTGGATATTAGTTTAGAGAAAAGAATAGTAATATTCCATGACCATTGGGTATTGACAGTATAACACCTTCAAATTTTGTAGCCCTTGTACAGAAAAATATGAGTTTTGGATGCAGGGTATCTCGCTGTAGCGAGATATCTCTTGCTATAGCAAGAAAGATGCGTCCAAAATTATGCATTCTGATGCTCTTTCACTGTAGCGAAGAGCTCTCGCTGTAGCTAGAATGACAGACAGCAAAGAAAAATTTTGTTTGATTTTTTCGCTGCAGTGAGAGAAGAGCTCGCTGTAGCGAAAATATAGCGAGTTAAGGGGTATTTAAGGGCATTCAACCTAGGAAACTTATATTACAATCCAAAATCCCGATCTCTCCCCTATTCTCTCTGACCTCTCACCCTCTATTACTAGATATCCTCCTCTAAACCTCAATCTTCCTTTCAATCTGGGCTTGAGAGCTTAATCATTCATATCTAAGTAAGTTTCCTTGAGCTTAGTTCTTTAACTTCATTCTTATTTCTCCATTTTATCCAATCTAAAGGTTTGAACTTTGTAATACTCAAGAAAGACTTAAGCCTTAAGATGATATTCTCTACCAGAATGTTGTGTCTCTCCCTTGGATCTCTAGGAAAGCTCGATCTGAGAAATCCATCTCCAAGTAAGAGGAGTTGATCCTGAACCCTAAGTTTTATTTATGTAGTTTAACATAGAAAACTCAACTAGTTGATTCTAAGAAACAAAACTGTAATATTTTCTGTAAAATCATATTGTAGAAAATGGATTTCCTATAAGAAAACTTTCTTTTGAACCCTAACTTCGGTATTTCGTTTTGGGTAATAGAACCCCAATGATTCTCTAAATTGTATTAC